CATCTCAAGCAGTTGTTTCTAAGTATACCAAAGTTAAGATTTTACAAATCATTATCGAAAGTGAGTTTCCTAAATTTAATAGCTCACGCCCAGAACATTAGTGCTATGTTTGCCTCATCTTATATATGTGAACAAGTGTTTTCAACTATGAACCTTAGAAAGCATTATTTCAGATGTAGAGTGACAGATGAACATTTAGCCTCGTTCCTTAAAATCAGTATATCTCACTTCGAACCTCGATATAAGGAACTTTTAAAAATTAAATCGCAATTTCATTTATCTCATTAACATATTTAAATTGTAATATTTGTGTATTGTTTTTAAAATTTTAGAAAAATTTATCTTGGCCCGCCAAAAAAATTTTTTTCCCCGATTTTCGGCCCGCGACCGGAAAAGTTTGCCCATCCCTGCAATAGACTGTATTTTTGCTCTCAAACTTAAGAAAATATTGTACTATTGTTTTTGATTTTGCTAAAGAGCATTATTACAATTAGGTTATTAATAATAAGGTTGCAGTTCTTTCTGCCCTTAAAAACTGTAGCAGTAAAAGAAATCAAGTGTTATGATTTTAAAAATTTGTATACTTCTCTTCCTTTAACAGAAATATACAACAGTCTTTTAACTATTCTTAAGGTGTTTCCTGAAATTCTTACAGTTATTTTGTAAGATAACTGGAAAATTCAACATCAGTATGCACTTTTAATAACTCTATTCATTTTAGAGACTATATTTTTCAACAAATAAATGGAATTCCCATGGGGTTCTTCCTTTTCCACACATATATGCTTTTTATAAAGGAATATCACTTCCAAGAATCTCTTAGTCAAGTTGATAAAAATTATTTTACAAATATTTTTAGGTATAGTGATGATGATATAACAATAAATGATTTTGAGGAAAAGGGAACACAATATTTACTCTTCTAATTTAGTTCCAAATAAAACAAATACTACTAAAAAAGAAATTAATAATTTAGATTTGCATATTTTTGGTTAAAAATATTAAACTTTGCAACAGAAAAAGAGACCTTCAATTTTTAACACAATAAAACTAATTCACTGGGATTCTACCGTCTCAAAAAAAATAATAATAAATAAATAAATAAAATTAAAAAAATTAATAAATAACACAATTCACAATCAACTTCACAGACTTAAAAAAAATTGTACTGAAATTAAATACCTACAAGAAGAGATCATTCTTTTCATCAATTCTTTAACAGAGAATAAAATACTGATTCAGAAGTCAAACAACAAAAATCAGCGTTAATTCACAAAATTTTCACAGGACTAGTTTCGATGGTTTTACCGAACCATCATCTTCAGCTGCAAAACCGCAAATGAACAAGATAGGAAATAATGTTTAGATAAGATAAGAAAGCCTGGACAAGAATAAGCAAGTGGCGCCATCTGTTGGCGAAACCAGAACTAAAACATAATTTCTCTAAAAGCCGAAGGCAAATTTGGATTGGAATTAGGATCGTTAACTAGAACAGAAAGATTTTTATGAATGTGAAATGCCTCTAGAAAATCCAGTTCTCCAATGGAAGATGTTTTTTGAATAATTTTGGCAGCAGAAAAATTGAAAGTGTGATTTTCGGACCAACAATGTTGAGCAACAGAAGACTTCTGTGTTTCCTTTTTTCTAACATATGCCTTATGTTCTTTGACGCGAAATTTTAAGGCTCTCTTTGTTTGGCCAATGTAAATTAAACCGCACTGGCAAGGAATCCTATAAATACCCCAGGAATTCATATCCGGAATGGGGTCCTTGAGTATAGAAGTTGGAATTTTATTGATGGGAGTAAACAACCCGAAAGTTAAATTTCTGCAAAATATGTGCAACTTTATAGCTAATTGATGGAAAGAAGGGAATGACAACAGAATTTTTATAATCTCCTAAAATCCTATAAACCAACAGATGGCGCCACTTGCTTATTCTTGTCCAGGCTTTCTTATCTTATCTAAACATTATTTCCTATCTTGTTCATTTGCGGTTTTGCAGCTGAAGATGATGGTTTGGTAAAACCATCGAAACTAGTCCTGTGAAAATTTTGTGAATTAACGCTGATTTTTGTTGTTTGACTTCTGAATCAGTATTTATTCGGCGTGTTATTGTGTCTTAATTAGAGAATAAAATTTCAAAATATTATATTAAACCTTCTCTGAAAAAAGCAGGCATTAACTACCAAATATAATCTCTGATTTTATATTATATGATTGTGTTATTTTAAACCTTTAAAAAGAAGAATAATGTAGGATGGTAACTAAAATTAGAGACCTGTTTATAGATAATATTCTCTTTTCTTGTATAGATTCTATGTTATATTCTGGCTCTATACTTTTATTAACTAAGTTGATTTAGTTTCAGAGCGTTGTGATAACTATGCTGGGTGAAGACTTTTGAATTTAAATTTACGTTTAAAAATTAAAATTTAAATGTTAAATATTTTGCTATTTAACCAATGCTCTGATCTTTTCTCCTTTCTCCAAGTATCTTTCTTTTGGCAACCCTGCACAATGAATGTGTTTCTGAGAATTCTGCAATCTTCTGTTTTACTGCCAAAGTTCTCGTCTATTGCAGTTTTTTGACAACATTGGCATAGACTAATTATTAGAAGAGCTTTGTCTATGCTGCTTCTTTCTACCTTTGGTAGTGTACATTTTCAGAAAATGATTAAAACCGAAATGGCGACCTTGTCCCATCATTTTCATGACCCAAGTTTGAATTCTATAATAGCTGCACTATTTTTCGTATAGGTTCTGTGTTTTACATCACATTTGTTTCTTCAAAAGTTCTACAGTCAAAAGTCGTTAATCCGGACTCGTCGGGACTTCGGCGATTCCGGATTATCGATTTTTCCGGATTATAGATCATCAGTTTAAATCTCGTAAGATGGCATGCAGAAATTCTAAAATTAAAAATATGAAACCGTAATTTATGAAATAAAGAACAATTATGATCTAAAGGGTATCAAAATTTGCAAAAAGAAAAAGCTTAATATTTATTTGTTTACTTAAATAAACATTTCTTTCAATGTAAGTTGTTTAAGTTTTGCTTCGTTTCATGTGATAATACTTTCTCTTTAATTCTATTAAACAGACATAATTTCTTGTTCAGTTACAAAGTTCCGCTGTTCAAGTCCTATAATTGCTGTGTCAAGAACACCGACTAATTTGTCAATCGAAATTTTTTCGTTTTCAATAACTTCTGTTACTTTTCTTCGCTATCGGAAGCGAATTATAATGACGAGGAACTTGTTTTAAATCATATCAAAGACGGAGCATATCGAGATGAAATACTACATTTGGTGAGGAATTATAAGCCAAATAAAATAAAAACATCTGATCTTCAATTATAAGCCAAATAAAATAAAAACATCTGCCCTGAAGATAAGGATAGTGCTGACAGATAACTTCCAGTTCATTACGCGCCCGCCGGGCGGCGTTCCCCCCGCCGAGCAGCGTGAAATTGATAAACAGATTTCGGATTTCAAAACATACTTTCGCTTTAGATCCTTTACATATTAACAAATATATATCGGAAATTCTATTTGATATAATCGAAAGTTTAAGCTTACTTTTATAAAATTGCTCTTACAGTCTGCAAAAAGTAATAAGCCGGATCCAATTCGAAAATTAAGGAACAACGCAATCATCAACATTAACTGAAATAGATAATTAGATAATTTTAGCTTATACGTCCATTATACATAAAACGCGCACGCGAAAACGTATTCTGCACTTGCGCACACTCATATGCGCAGTCGTAAAAGGTCTTACGCGCACGGGTAAACGCCTATGCGCATGTGTCAACGCGGCACATGCGCAGAAAGTTTTTAGTTTTGAGGTCCGGATTATAGATCATTCCGAATTATGGGTGTCCGAATTAACGACTTTTGACTGTAGTAAGTTTTACCTTCTGGTAAAATGTTTTGGTGAATTTACAACTGTCTTACTGTTTTAATGTCAGTTAGAGTGTTGTTTAAAAGCTTTTGCTTTTAAGCTTTTAAACAACACTTTTAAACACAATTTTTAAGTTTTATAATTTCATGATTAAGTTGGCCACTGTATTCTTTTAATACACTGAAGTGATATTTTTATCTAGAATTTTATTGTTTTATCAATTTTTTAACTCTTCATATTGTTTTGTAAATTGGTATTTTTTTGTATTTTTTATATAAATTTTCGAGCACTGAATTTATGTCATGGTATACTCTTGACTTTTTGAGAGTGGGTGTAAATAATATTTTTGTTCAGAAATTTAATGTGTATTTTTTATATATTTTTATAATTTTCGTTTTTGCTAAAAGTGTGGAATCAAGCACGAGTTCAGCACTCCTTAATTGTTTAGGTTTTAATGTTTTAAATTATTACCCATTGACAAATCAGTTTGAAACTTTAAAATATAAATAATTGATATGCATTTTCATAAATAAAAAAAGATCTAAAATTTGTTTTTCAGTAAATTTTTAACTTTCAATTTACATAATATTGCTTTCTAAAATTTAACAGTTTTCTAAGTTTTTTTATTTTAAATTTCAAATAAAAATATTTACAGGATAGTGTAATCTTTTTTCTTCAAATTTTAAAAATTAAACTTTCGTTAAATTAAATCTATGAGCAGCTTTTGCACTTGATTTTTTGTCCAGACTTGAGAAAGCTCAGACTGACAGTTCAGATAGGAATAGCAATGAATTGCTTTTTCTGTATGATCTCACAGTAGAAACTACTGGTGTTAAAATAATTTATAGATCTAATTTGCTTAATATCCTTCTCAAAAACGTATACTACTATTGGAATTAATGGGAAATATTTTCTGTTAATAGTTCATATTATTTTATAATGCCTGTATAGTTTTTTGTTTGTTTGTTTGTTTTTTTAAAACTAAATGTATGGAATTTTCTACGCTATTTTGTGACTTGTAGATGTATTATTGAAATAATAGTATAATTTTTGGTTTTCTAATTGTATTCTTATGTATTTATTTGTTTATTTTAGCAACTCTTATTGCAAATACTGATACAAGGTGGTATTTGAATTTAACCAACTCGATATACCGCTTCAGTCTGGTACGCATGCTTCCAAGTGGGATTAGTCGGTTTCATGGTCACAATGAAAGGATATCTATAAAAAATTATCTTGAGCTTGTAAATTTTTTTCTCCATTTAATTAAAAATTCAGATGGAGCTGATTCTGTCACAAAACACACACATGAAGATTTGTGATGCTCAAAAAATTTTTTGCATGTAATATTTTGATAACAATTTTAAGAAATTTTCTAAGCCAAATAACATTCCAGTGCTAAAATTTTGTATGCAGTTTTATTTGTTGTTTTGAAAAAAAAAAATCTGTTAATATAAAATAAAAATGTGTGTATATTTACTGATATAGTTATTTATTGCTTAACAAATTTTAACGCCTTGATTAATTCTACGAAATAGTGATTTATGTTAATTATTTATGATTTCATTTGTTAATATTTAAAAAATACTCCGCTGTGTTAGCTCTAGATAAAGGAAGGCAGCATGTGTAAAATAATATTGAATTTTCAAAGGAGCTGCAGTCGTGAGAAACACTGTTATGTGAGATCCGGCAATCCTGGCGTGTAACTTGGTTCCCCCTCTCCCAGTCCTCGTCCTTGCGATCTGTCTGCAATGCTTTTTTGTTGTTGTTGTTGTTGTTGTTTGTTTGTTCAAGAAACACTGTGCCGGTTGACAACATTCACTCCCAACTGTGTGAAGTCTACGGAGAAAAATGTATGAGCGTACAGCACATGTGCAAATGGTGCAGAGAATTCAAAGACAGACGTACAGACGTCCATGATGAACAGCGTTATGGATGACCATCAGCTTCAGACGAAACGATTGCGAAAGTGGAAGAAACAACGCTGAAACATCGAAGGGTGACGGTTTGGGAGCTCTGCGAGATGATCCCTAGTGTCAACAAGACCTGCATTGGCAAAATTTTGATAGACCATTTAGGGTATGCCAAGTTTGTGCAAGGTGACCAGCTTGTGCAAGTGTTGCAGCGGCCCGCGAATTTCTTTATGCATATAAAACCAATGGTGAGGATATGGACTGTATCGTTACTGAGGATGAGACCTGGGTCTACTACACAACACCGGAAACAAAATAACGATATTGTCAGTGAAAACATCCAGAGTTGCCGAAGCCTCGGAAGTCGAAACAAACAGTGTCTGCCGTTTGGTTTGGTATCTAGGTAACTACTAAACATCAATTTATAAAGAATAAACTTCTTAATAAAATCAATATATATATGTATATATATATATATATATATATAATATTAGAATGACAACAGTCTCTGCGATGAGTGGAGCAAACTTTCAAAAAGAAAGGAAAAACGTTCTTTCTTTTTTTATTGCAGTCTCGAAGAGCATTCTTATTGTGCATGCACTAGGAGGAGAAATCCAGGCACGACGTCAGCAGTAAAGAAATGTGTGAAGGGGAAGGTAAAACCTCACGCCATCTCCCTTCATGGGAAAAAATGCGTTAAAATCTGGAAAAGATTACAAAAAAAAAAAAAAAAGAAAGAAAGAAATTGTACAAATCCTTTTGAAAAGTGAACACGACATCCTTGAACGAGTTAATTTGCTTTTGCAGGAGCACTTTTTTTTCAGGTGACTGTTTGTTTACTGAATAGGCTGGTTGCTGCGATGAGGCCTTATCAACATCAGTTAAAATATGAGGTTCAAATACATTGTGTGAGACCAAATAAGCAGGTACCTTATTTGGTCTCACACGCAGGTACTACCCTATCGATAGAAACGGTGATATCATGTCCTATTTTAGAGATGGTAAAAGTTTTTATCATTGCTTTGAAAAACTTTGTAAGTACCATTGTAGGGTATATGCAACAAGGGCTTTACTTCGTCTACACATAGAAAAACTTAAGAAGATTTATCCAAATCTTTGTACACAAACATCTGTTTTTTGGAGTGATTTGTAGTAGCAGTCTGTCAAAGGTGCTCTATATGGCCATTTAATTTTTCTATATAGTTATTTTTTGGATTGTTGCTATCGGATGTGTGACACATTATGAACTGTTTAAGCAATTTGTGCAATCCTTTAATGATGTCATTGGCTTGTAGGTGGTATGCGTACCAAAGTTTTTAGCTAGTTCTCGAATATTTACTTCGAAATTGACTACCACGATCAGTGGTAATCTGGGTAGGCACATCGAATCTAGAAATCCAGCCTGCTTAAAGAGCAGTGGCGAAAGTCTCTGCCCATGTATCTTTCAATGCATAAGCATCAGGTCAGGAAGTATGCCTGTCCATACACGTCAAACAGTAAGACATTCCTTGAAATGAAGTCAAATCAAATCTACGATATAAGTTTATCTGGATTTATAAAAATAGTTAAAGGAGATTGTACATCATGATGAGCCACTTTAGCCTATTGACATTGTATACAAGCTTTAGCGAAGTTCCTGAAATCGGCAGTTATCCCACTGTTAAAGAATTGGCTTTCGATGTGGTGAAACCAAATGCTTGGATTATCTTTGCAAAATGGCGGTATTCTGTTGGTTTCAGGTGCTTGCGTTGAAACAATAGTATCGTCGTTAACAGACATGTTCGAGCGATTTAAAACGTGTTCTTCTCAAGGTCGTAGTTGCCATTTTGGTATCTAGGTAACTACTAAACACTAATTTATAAAGAATAAGCTCTCAAAAAAATCAAAATATATACATAATATTAGCATGACATCAATTTCTGGATAAACGGAGCAAACTTTCGAAAAGGAAGGAAAAACATGTTCTTCTTCTTTTTTTTTTTTTTTTTTTTTTTTTGTTGTTGTTGTTTGTTGTTGCAATTCCGAAGAGCATTCTTACCACACATGCCCCTAGGAGGAGAAATCGAGGCATGACGTCAGCTTTGAAGAAATTTGGACGAAAGGTAATACCCCATAGCCGACAAAGTGATGGCGAGCATCTTTTGGGACAGGAAGGGGTTATTGTGCGAATTAATGCCTGCCGGTATAACAATCAATTTGGATCGCGCTGCGTGTTTCCAAACAAGAAAGAGAGGCATGCTGACGAAGGGCATGCATTTGCATCAGGTTCAGGTTGTAGTGCAGCGGACATTGTTTAACCATTCGTAATGTGGGTATTGTTCAACTGCACTATCACTTTATTTGAACATTATAATTTTTTTGGAAGAATTTTGACATATTTACATATTTTACCTATGATTACAATATAGTTGTGACATATGGTGCCTTTCGAGTACATAATGGTAAATATAGAACATAAAGGCAAATGTATAACATAAAGGTAAATATATAACATATTGGTGCATAATGGCATACATATAACAATACATGTACGAACATATATAAAGCATGATTATATACATAAATGCAAAGAGTACTTTTTTGCCTGTATATGTAAGAGAGCATATACTGAGTTAGGAAGAAATGATTTTGTATATGAATTTTTTTTCCAGAATATTTGACTTTTTTTATTTTATTGGATGCATAGAGGTGTTGTATGGTCCTTTAGTCTTTTTGTTAATTGTAGTCTGTACTTCTGTCAATTTTGCCCTTCAATATTTTGTCAAGTAGGTAGTTTTGTCAATTCTAATTTAAATTTTTTGAAAGTTCCAGTGTGTTATTTTTTGCTCATCTTGTATTGCACAATTCTTCTCCTCTACTAGCGAAGAATATAACTGAGAGTTCTATTTTTCTTCCTAGTTGTTTTATTTTTAAAGCTATTTGTAAGTACTGATATATGTTAGTCTCAGGAAGTTTCAAGTGATAGTTTTTTGTTAATGGACATTTTAAGATGTAATGGTTGGGATCGCCCCTTTCCCCACATATACATTGCTCAGAAGGAGCTATGTTTCGTTCGTAAAAATACTTGGGGAGGGGCCATGTCCTGTCATAAACCAATTGATTAGATGGTTCGTCCTAAGTCTGTCCGTATTGATATGAGGTTTGAGTTGGAAGAGTCTTCTCCCCTTATCGCTATTTTTCCATTCTTCTTGCCATACTTGTTCCCGTAAGCATTTAAGTTGGTGTTTTAGCTGAGATTTGAGCCAAGAGGGATTTTTTTAATTCTGCGTCAGCGTCAGTAATAGCAAATATTGCCGCTTCATCTGCTTCTTCATTTCCAGAAATCCCCACATGGGATTTAACCCATGAAATAGTAGGATGTATATGCAAATTCGAAGCGGAGATATCATAGATATCTTAAATGATCGAAGAATTATATTTAGTATTTTTCATAGCTAGAATCGTGGATAGACTATCTGTGTATATTTGAATTTTTTCGATTTCGTTTTCGGTACAATATTCTAAAGCCATTTTTATTGCTATTGCTGATAACTCAGCTTGGAAAATACTGTTTTCATTTCGAAGTTTAGCTTTTCGTATTATTTTAACTTGAGAATTTATATAAATAATGCATGAACATGCGACTCCTTCTTCCATTTTGGAGCCATCTGTGTATGCGCATGGGTAGTAGTCTCTAGTTTGTGTATCTTTTGCAATACAGTTGATTTTTGGATATACTGTTGGGTGCCTTCTTTATAGGTTACAGGGAAATTCATAATTGGAATATTCGAAGTCTCTATCTTTTATGGAACAGTTCCTTTTAAGCCTTAAAATCGTGCCTTTGGTATGTTCCATTTGAGCTGTTATATGCAGGGGGGGGCTATTCCTGCCAACACACAGAGTGCTGCATTTGAAGTTGTTCTGTAGCACCTTGTAATGCATAGTAAAAACGGATGTTGTATTACCTGAAGCTGTGTTTTCTTTCTTTTGGTAAGAGGCCAAGATCACTGCCCCATACAACGCAATTTTTTCAATAACTGTATTAAAGAGAGTTTTTTTGAATAAAGGGACTTAATCCCCAATTTAATCCTTTCAATTTTCGGATGTTGTTTGCAATTTCGGAGGTTTTATTTCTAATGAATTTTAAATGTTCAATCCAATTTAATTTCTTGTCAATGATTAGGCCAAGGAATTTGATGCTATTAATAATTTTTATTTTCTTGTCTTCTATAGCAAATCTAGGCACGCGTGTAATCTTTTGGGAGGCCTTTGGAAATATAACGGCCTTAGACTTTTCTTGGCTAATGGTTAATTTCAGATTTTTACAGAGGGAGTTGAAGATATATAGCGCTTCGATAGTATTTTTCTCTAAGAGATTTCTGGTTCTTCCACCTATGATAAATGCAGCGTCATCCGCAAACGCTATTCCTTTTCAATGGATTGGCCATATGCAGTTGGTAATGGAATTGAAAGTTAAGTTTCATAAATCCACACTTAGGCAAGAAACTTGAGGGCAACCTCTTTCTTGGTACTTTTCAATTATTCTACTGTTATGAATAATTATGCTTTTCCTGTTTTGAA